TGTGAATGGACTCAAGACCAAAGGTTGGAAATTGGAAAATCTGCTTAGCTGGGCAGAAGAAGAGGAAATTACAATATTAGGAATTACAGAAACAAATCTTACAGAAAGAGAAGAAAAGTTTCTAACATATGTAACAGGCAAAAGATATGTAGAGTTTTGGACAAATGTAGCTGAAGATAAAAAAATAAGGAAAAAACATCTAACAAAAAATTGTAGAAATGATTTTAAAAAGGAAGAGACAAACACAAATTATTGTAATGGGTGATTTTTAATCACACAGTAGACAATATTCTAGACAGACAACATCCACAAACAACAAACTACAAAAGACTGCCAATTTTCAATTAGATGAAGAAACAAGACTTTAGAGACACATACAGAGACATAAATCCAATAGATCAATAATACACATGGTCAACTGGAGAAGCAGCAACAAGAATTGACTATATATGAATATCAGATAGTTTAGTCTCAGGTTTACAGAAGGCAGAAATCAAAGAGGTAAAAGAAATTACAGAGAGTGACCACAAGATAGTAACAGCAGAAATATAGATCAAACATATGATAGCAGCTAAAAGCAAGGCAGGGATTAAAAAAAAGAGGCAGTCAAAAATAGTATACTTATATGATCAAATGAAATTAGAAAATTGAGAAAATTATATACAAGAGCTACAAAACCAGTTAGAAGTAAAAGAGGTTTTAAAAGATATCTGCAAGAAAGAACAAGATGAGAAGAAGTAAATGGAGAAGATAAACAATATATGGGATGTAATAGAAGAAGCTATACCCAAGAAAAAAGTATTTAATATGATAACTAATAGAAGAAGAAGACAGAAAGAACAGCAACAAGAAGAAAGCATTGTCAAGCTACAGAAATTAATTAAGTATACAAAGGCTAAAAAGACACAAGCAGTAACAGAAAAGGAAAGAAGTGAAGTAAATGAACAATTAAAGATGTTAGACAAGGAAATTGGAGCAAAATTACCAAAACTACAAAGACAATGGTCAAATGCATGGATAGAAAATATAAAAGGTTGAAGAAAGCTACTATTGGAAAGGAAAAAGAAGGACTAGAAGTGAATACAAAGAAAACAAATAGAAGAAAACATAGATAAAAGATGTAAAATAATCAAAACAGACCAAGGAAAGATGATAGCAAGTCTCTTGAATAGGCCTTATAAGAAAATAACACTTGACAGGTTTATCAAACAAACAAAAGAAAAAACAACTCTAATAACAAGTTCAGAAGATGTCAGAGTAGGAGTAGCAGAACACTACAAAAAGCAATTTAGGAAAAGGAATACAAGATTAGAAGAGATGTCAAAAGAGTGAAGGGAAATATACAAAACATGAGTAAACTTTAGAAAAGAATGGTATACAGAAGTTGAAAAAGAAATTAAGGAAAAAGAATAGGAAGAAACACTAAGAGAACTGAAGACAGGAACAGCCCCAGACATATCTTTTTTTTTTTTTTTTTTTTTATACATAAATTGGTGTTCTTTTTATTAAAATTAAATATTATAGAATTTTACATTATATACAAGTAAAACATTTTTTATCTATGAATTTAACAAGTTTAAGTACTTTCTTGCTTTTTTGTAATTTATCTAAAATTATTAGACTTTTTTTCATTCGGTGTTCAACAATTTTTCCTATTGTCAGTTCTGAAGTAGTATTGTTTCCTCATATAAATTGGGTATACCAACACCATATTTCATAGATAATATTTATATATAGCCATAATGCAGCCTCTTGCTTTTTAGAAAGTTGAATATTTGATGCTGTAAAAATCTCTTCAATAGTTGTAGGAAAAACCTTTTCTGCTAGGGATTTAAGCACCTTGTATTCCTTTTCTCAAATAGCTTTGCTAATGTTACACTTTAAAGCAAAGTGATCTAATGTTTGTTTTTGATCTGAGCAGTTAGAACAGTTTCCATTAATGTTTTTGTTTATATGCATAAGCCTGTATTCCAAAGGAAGTACATTGTTCTGTAATCTCCTATTATGTTAATCCAGGTAAAAGGATAGCTAGTGTCAATTGGAGTTTGCACTGCTGTAGGTAGAATCAATTGAGTCCTTAAGAAATCAGTTGCATTTTTAACTGAGAATTGGGAACCTGGTTGGCCTCCAATTGTAAGATCTGATGAATTCCAAGGCCAGTTGTTTGTATTTAGTATTGAGCCTTTTAATCTTTTTCATGCTGTAAGGTAAGGTCACCAAAAGTCTGGCCATCCTTTCAGCCTAATTGGGAGTCTTGTTAATGCATAACCTATTGTTATATTTCTTTTATCATGCAGTTGTTGAGCAATTTAAGATCTTTTGACTCTGGCCCAAAAGCTGTCTGAACATAAGAGTTTAATCCATATTGAAGTCAGTCTTGAGTCAAGAATATCCTTAAGGACTAGGGCTGCAAGACCTCCTTTGTCAATTTCCAGTCGAAAAGTTGAATATTTTGACAGCATTCAGGATTTGTTTTTAATCCAGTTTGAGATTAGATCATTAATTTTGCCTAGTTGTTTTCTGCTTGATGGAAGTAAGTATGCTGTGTACCAGATCTTGGAGATAAAAAGAGCTTTTGACAGGAGAATCTTTCTCTTAAAGGAGAGGTTTCTTAACATGACACCTTCAATTCTTTTCTTGATGTTTTGAGTTAGGTCCTCCCATAGCTTTTTCTTTAGGTTACCTTTAATATGAACTTCATAGCCCAAGATTTTTAGTATGATATTGTCATTGGCTATTTTGTACTGTTCTTGGTTTGTAAGATTAGTTGCTTTGGTCATGCTTGTGATTAGAATTAGAATTGACTTTTCTTTGTTAATTTTAGCATTTGAGACTGCTTCATATTTGTGCAATAGAAGCAAAAGCTTTTTCCAGTCATTTGCTGAGCTTATTCCGATTGTAAGATCATCTGCATAGGCTACAGCTTTAAATGTCTGATTGGCTAAATGTATTCTATTGATTTCTTCTTGAATCTTGAGTATAAGTGGGTTGAGGGCCAAAATGTATAGCAAAGGAAAAAGTGGGTCCCCTTGTCATACTCCTCATTCTACCTTTATAGGTTCTAAAATAAGGTTTGCATCTGTTAAGTGTGCAGTTTGTGAATTGAAAAGAAGTTTAACAATCCTTGTAAAGTTTTTGTCAAAGTTCATTTTTTCTAATATATGTATGATAAAATTATGATTAATTTTATCAAAAGCTTTTTGCTAATCAAGCAGTAGAAGCCAGTTTGATATTGTTTGATTATTTTGATTTCTTAGAACTGTAATAATGTCTAGTGCTGTATCAGTGATTGATCTTCCTTTAATGAAGGTTTGTTGTGAATGTCCGATTAAAGTTTTGCAAATAGGGTTACTCCTATCAGCTAAGATTTTCATAAAGATTTTAACATCACAGTTTGTGAGCGAGATTGGTCTCCAGTTGTTAATATCTTTTAAGTCAGTAGCTTTTTTGGGAATTAGAGTAATGAAACTTTTGGATTATGATCTTGGGATTGTACCAGACTCTAAACAGAAGTTGAAGAGATTGAACAAAACTGGTACTATTTCATTTATAATTTCTTTGTAGAATCATAACTAAGGCCATCTGAACCTGGAGTCTTATTATTTGAAAGAGAGCTAATAACATTTCTAACTTCTTCCTTGGAAATAAGTTTTGTGAGTGATTGGTTTTGTGATTCAGTTACTTTTTGAAGATTTTGGAAAAAATAGTTCATTAAGTTCTTGTCAACTGCCTCTATTTTGTAAATATTCTTATATGTTTCCTTTATAAATTGTAGAGTAGCAGCTGAGTCTTTGGAGTTGTTATTAGGAGCTTGAATTTTGTCTTTGCCGAAATTAAGTTTCTTGACTTGTATCGGGAGAAAAAAACTTGGTTGACTTATCTCCATCTTCAATCCATTTGGTATTTGATCTTGTTTGCCATTTTTCTGAGAGCAGCTAAAGCTCATCTTGAAGCTGTTGGTTAACATTTTCTATCTGTGATAGAGCTGCTATTGGATTTTCTTCATTAGCAGCTTTCTTATTTAGCTTTAAGAGTTATTTTTGAAGCCTTTGAATCTTCTTTTCTGAAGCAGGATTAGGCCTGAATGCTCTAATTATAGATTGTATTCTGTATTTGCAAAGGTCACATTTTGAAAAATCAGTAATGCTTTAGAGTTCTTCAATTACTTCTTTTTTTAGCAGGTCATTATTCTAGCTATTTTTGCAAAATCTCCATTGTTTTGCTTTAGGGTTTTCTAGTAAGAGGTGTATTTCACATTTTACTATTAAATAATCAGAATTGCCAAATTGCATTGTTACATTTTTACAATAGCTACTATGATCACTATCTATAAAGATGTAATCAAGTCTTGTAGCCATTCTGTGACCTGCATGAGTGTTCTGATAATAGGTTAAAAATGAATAATTATTTTCAGACAGTGATGCAGTATCTGTAAACTTCATTGTAAGTTTTTTAAAAAGATTTCTTGTAGGGTCATAAGTAATAGGTGCATGACTGATTCAATCTTTTTGTGGATTCAGATTTATGTTAAAGTCTCTGGCCAAAATATTAATGCATCTGTCATCCCTTAGAGGAATCCAGCTATTAATATATTTGGTAATGCATAAACATTGTTTAAGAGAAATGGTTAGTTTTTGTATAGGAAAGTTGCTGTAATAACATGCCCATTCTGAGATTCTATAATGTTTTCAAATGAATGTTTCTGTTTCCTGCTAATATTGCTGTCTCGGAGGACCAGTAAGAGCTATATCCCCATTGTTGTGAGAGAAAATTCCTTGTGTTATTGTTTTCTAAATTTGCTTCTTGTAACATAATTATATCTAATTGGTATGATTTAAATAAGGTCAGTGTTTTTTGTGCTTTGTCTGAATTGTTCAAACCTTTAACATTAAGTGTTGCAATTGTAATTTGTTTAACCATTAATATTAAAAAATTGAAGATTGGTAAGTTAGATTAAGGTCTTTTGGTTCTGAGACCAGGATTCTTTTTAGGATCCAGACTCATAACTTTGTTTCTTTCTGCATTCGATACTTTTGCTTTACCCTTGTGTTTTTTCTTTGACATCACCAATTGGAATTCATTGTTATCATTGCTGATAAGAGAGGATTTATCAACCTTGGAGTTATTATAGAGGGTGATCAGCGGATCTACTATTATGTTGGTATCTATAAAATAATTTTCTATTAAGAAATTGGTTAGTTCCTTTGGAGTATCTTCAGTTGGTTCTTTTTTAGCTGTCTTAGTTTTAATCTGAGGCTGATCTATATTGATATGACTATCCAGATTCGTATCTGCTAAGATTTGCTCATTAACTTTGTTAGCATCTACATTATTAAAGTCTTCTAACTCGAAGGTTTGGTGCTTGGTGATATTGTTTTGGGATCTTTGTAATCTGCATGCTTTTTGCATAGCTCTAAGTTCTACTAAAGCTATATACTCAGTGCATTCTTTTTTGATGTGACCCACTTTGTCACAAAAGTAGCATAGCTTTGGAGCCTCTCTTCAGTTTGTAACTACTTTGTGGTCCCAAACATGTGTATATATGGGAATTCTATTTGCTAGATCTGGATCATCTGTAGTTTCAAAAATAACTACCCATTGATCTGAAAGAACTGAAGTGCCTTTGTGTATCAAAGGTTTGATAGAGGAGATTGTGCCTATGTCTTGAAAAGCTTCTTTGATTTTTTCAAAGATAAGATCTTTTTTACCTATTGGTGTATTTCTGATTCTTACTGAAAGAAAGCTTCATCTAATATTAACAGGAATATAACCCTGAAGGGACTGCTTAAAGATTGAGATTCCTTCTGCTGCATAGTACTGTTGCTGGTCCTCATCAGAAAAGATAACTTCTAAATGAGTTCTTCTGCCTTTGATAACTACTAGTCTTACTGCTATAAGACTGTCACATAATTTTTTTGCCATTGCTTCAACTATGTTTGCTGTAGATATATTTTCTAAATTTTGTTTCAAAAATTAAAGCATTTTCATTTTTAGTGCAGATTCTTTTTCTAGGAGAAAATGTAGAGTAGATGGCTTTTCCTCTTTCCAACTTAGAAAAAAGATCGGACCATTGCCTTGGTTTTGATTGGTTGGCTGTAATTTCTGATTGAGATGTAACTGAGTTGCTATTATGAGACATGTGTTTGGTTTGTTTTGTTACCTTTGTGTACATGTTGTTAGCAGATGTAAACAAAGCATCATCATTTTTTACAGAATCAGTATTTTCTTTGTTTAGTGCTTTGCTGACTTTTAAGTCTGTTACTATATGTGCTTCTTGTGCTTTTTGTGTTAATAAAGCTTTTGGTTCTTGGTTATTTAAAACTTGAGCTTTAGTTTGTTCTGATAAGCTCTTAGAAGAGCCTGAGCTTAAACTAGTTTTTTCATAAGTGTTAGAAGTTCTGATTTTTTTGTAGAACACAGGTGTTTTAGATAACTTAGTAAAGGGAGAGTGTAGCATGTTGGTGCATAGATACTTTTTTTTCTTCGGCACAAGAGATTTAGCTCTTGTGGTATAGTTTCTAATAGATTTTAATTAAGGTTTAATTGTTTTTGTTTTATTTTTTTCTCCACTACTAAACATGAGTGAAGAGAGAGAGTGTGTTTTTTTTTTTCCCAGACATATCAAGTATAAGTTATATACTGATAAAGTAAGCAGAAAAGAAAATACAAAAAGTATTTAAGAGCTTTGCAAACCTATGTTTAGAAGAAGAAAAGATACCAATATAATGGAAGATAGCATGAGTTTATCCAATACCTAAAGATATAGAGTGTAAACAACATATGACCGATAGCATTAATAGAAACATTTAGGAAAGTCGTAACAAAGGTGTTAACAAGAAGACTTGCCAAAGTGTTTACAGAAAAAGAAATTCTCAAACGACCAAATTATGCAGGCCTCTCTGGTAACTCAACAGAAAAACCAGTGCATATTCTTAACATGATAATGAAAGAAGCAAAAGAGAAGGGCAAAGAAGTATGAATTCTTCTGCAAGATAAAAAAAAGCATTTGACTCAGATCTACTTGAGAGTCTAAAACTAGCACTGCAAAGGGTTAAAGTGCCTAGAAGAACAATAAAATACATTCTGGATCTGTTTCATGAAAGACAACTAAAAATTATCACAGCTCATGGTCTAACAGAAGAGATAACAGCAGAAGATGGCATAGATCAAGGAGAAGTAATATCTTCATTAATATGGTGACTTTTCTACAATCCACTGTTAGAGAAAATACAAAAGATAAAAATTTAGGATATACAGTAGAACAACAGATCAAAAGAGAAATACAATGCAGCAACATCATGAAGTATCGCCAAGCAGCTATTGCATATGCAGATAACACAACATGGATCACAAATAATAAAAAACAGCTAATAGAAATACTAAAAATAGCAGAAGAATTCTTCAAGATGAATGACATAGAGATAAATGGATTTAAATTAAAGTTGCTGATAATGAACACAAAAGTAAAGAAAGAGGAAAGAGAAGTAAGCTTTAGAGGAAGCAAAATAGCAGAAGAAACAAAGAACAAGATAATTTGCATATTAGAAATATGGCTAAATAACAGAATAAGCAAAGTGCTAGTAAAAAAGAAAGCTAAAGGAATAATCAGCCAAACAATAAGAGATCTTAGACACAAAATGATAACAATGAGTCAGATTGCATATATAAACAATATGGTAATAATACCAAAGTTAAGTTACATGCTACAACTAACTAAAATGTCAGAAAGAAGTATAGATGAAGTGCACCAACCAATAATAAGTTTAGCAAAGCAAAAGAGTAACCTACAATGAACACTAGAAATTGTGTAATGGAACACAAAGATTTTGGAAGCTGCAGAACATTATGACAAAAATTAACATCAAAACAAATAAGTGGCTTATTAGCAAGACTAAACATACAAGACAGTTTTGGACAATTAACAAAATTAAGAATAACACAAGGTTGTCAGAGAGTGGGTTTAACAGAAGATATATAGAAAATAAAGGAGATGCCAGAAAATATAAAAGGGTGGAAGAGTAACTTAGCTTGTCTGACATTGCTAAAAGCAAGAAAACTTAACATAAATATAAGGATAGAAGGCAACTTATGGACAATGTTTAAACATGAAATCAAAATAAGAGAACTTATAGATATGTGGTTACAGAAAAGAAGTGATACCAGAATAAATGAACCAGGCTTAATATATCTAAACCAGCTGATAGATGCAAAAAAAGAGAGATTAATTACATGGCAGCAGCTAAAAAGTTATTAAGGTCTATCAAGTAAGGAGACAAAAGCAAAATGGTTCAAAGTAATAGAATGAGAAGTGCTTATTAAACCAGAAAATAGAGAAGTTAAAAGACAATTTAAAACAATTAGACAAAATACTCAAGCAATGAATATGAGATGAAAGTATATTTTAGAAGACAAAAGAAGAAAAGAATGAATAGTACATAATGCACAAAACAATCAACAGCTAGAAAAAATAGTTAAGAAGAAAAAGAAAAAAATACTATTAGAATACTGGCAAATGCAGAGTAAAGAAAGTGAACTAGCTATTGAAATTAGCAGATGTAAGGGTTGTACAAGAGAAGAAGAACATCAAGAAAATATCTGCCAACAGTGGATAAGAGTAAATAACAGAATCAATGTGATTCCAAATGCATTGATAAAAAAAGGCAGCAATAAGATCAAGATAACAATAGATCAAATAACAGAAATGATAAAGATGAATAAACCAAAGACAGGAGAACAGAAACTTGAGTAACTAAGAATAATAGAAGAGCCAGAAGTAGAGATAATCAGGTGACAAAAGTTAAAAGACAGCATTAGTTAAGAAATAGTAGAAGTCTTAAGAAGAAATATAATAAGAGACAAGAACAAGTATATAATATACACAGATAAAACAGCTAACCTGAAGACCAAAAAAGACACAGAAAGCAGAAATAGTATGGGCATAGGTTGGATGCAAACAAACGAGACACAAGAATGACCAGAAGAAGAGTTAGCATTAGGTTTAAAAGAATGGCAAACATTGACAATAGCTAAATTAGTAGCAATATGGGCTGCAATTTTGACAATACCAAGAGAAAAGCAAGTAGAAATATATACAGATAGTAATGCAGCAATAAGAAACATTAGTAGAGGTTTAGAACAAGTATGCAGAAATAAGATCCTTAAAAAGAAAAATGCAATATGGGTGATGAAAATTAGAGAGTTGATTAGGACAAAGAACATTTAAATAGAGTTTATTAAAGTTAAGAGCTACAGCAAAGATAGATAGAATGATAAAGCTGATAATCTAGCAAAAAAAGATGCAATGAGTAAAGAGATAATACAGGTTGAAAATGTTAGTTGTGAAGAGATAAAGTACTGCTTAGAGTGGAAAAACAGATGTACTGACATACTAGCAAGACTGCTATGCAAATTGATAACAAATGCAAGGTTATGAGCAGAATAAAAAGAAACAAAAGCAATTAGAGCCCTAGAATCAGAAACAGAAGTTATGATTTATAATTAGACATATTTTTGAAATAGATTGAAGACATCTAAAGGAGTACACTACACAACAAGAAGAAGTAGTGCCAGAAGAAGTGCATTTATAAAGTGCATAATGGATAAACTTTCAACCCTAGAAGAACTTAACAAAAGAAAACCAGAGGTATATATAATGACAGAATGCCAAGTTTGTCAAAATAAAACAAAAAAAACATAGGCACATTTGGCAGCATGTAAGGAACAAAGAAACCTGTGGAAAAGAATCCAAAAAGTGACCATTGCAACAGCTTGGAAAATAGAAGCAGAGAAAATTAAAATAAGAGAGACACTAATTAAAGGTCTTATTTCAAAAGAAACACAAGATAGATTGAGGCAGCTCCTAAGCACAAATTCAAGGCAGCAGTTTATGAATATAATTGCAAGAATGGCCTGTGATACATTTTACAAACAAGTGTGGAGAATTTGATATGAAAAGATTAATGAATAGGAGAAGAATAAAGATATAACAGGTAGAATAAAAAGAAAAAAAGGAAAAGAAGAAGAAAGAAAAGCACTAAGGAAAAACAAATCGACAAGCTATAGAAGAAAAGAAAGAAAAAGCAAAACAAAAACAAAAACAAATCAGAAAAGAAGCACAGAAAACAATTTTAGAGCTTGTTATGAAAGGAAAAAGATCCTTTTATTATGGACTTTAAGTAGTCAGATGAGTGGCTTACTTCTGCTTAAAGTAATGCAGCAGGTTGCACTTAGGTACCATTAGAACTCTTTTTGGTTTTCAAAAACAGCAATACTAGCTGGAAAAAAAACATCAAATTAACAAACATGAAAGAAGCTTTGGATGAATAAATAACTATAACCAAAGCAGAAATTAAACAGCAGCATTTCCATTTTACAAATGTCTATGCATCTCCAAAACTAAAAGACAGAATCTTTTTTTTTAAGAAGTGGACTTTAATCAAGTATTTTTATTATAAAAAAGGACTTTAACACTAATCTAGATTTTGAAATAAACAGAATAAGCCAAGCAGCTGCACAATATGACAGCTTCAAAAAGCTTATAAAAAACCTCTTAATTAACTATATTGATATAGCAATTTGCTCTAAAAAAGAACCATTTCTTACTTTTTATTAGTCAACATCAGAAGGTCAAAAAATAACAACCAGACTTAACTATATTTATATTGAAGAGAACTACAGCCACCTTTGTAAAGAGGCCTCAACATATTTTGGAAACTTAGACCACTTTCTAGTTAAATGCAAGCTTAGCTTAAAGTCTAAGCATAACAGCAATCCAATATGAAGGTTTAACAAAAAAGTATAGAAAATTCCTAAACTTAAATTAAATATAATTCAAAAAATATGCAAAATCCAAAACATAGAAAACTGGAATCTGCACAAATGTTTAATACAGTTAATAATAAGATCTGTAGTTTGTACAACAAAATAGCAAAAAATCCCAATTTAGAAAAACTCAATCTCATCATAGAAGGCCTTAAAGTTGAGCTTCAGAAAGAGTTAGTCACAATGTTAGACAAATAGTGTATAAGGTCCAATGCAAAATGGAGAAAAGTTAACTAAATACTTTTATTTACTTTACAAATCCAAGCATTTAACTAGTTGCAGTACTAAGATTAAAGATCCAAACAACCCAACTAGAGTTTTTTTTTTTTTTTTTTTTTTTTTTTTTTTTTTTTAAATGTGAAATGGTGTACTTTATTTAATAAATTACAAATACATTATTATTAGACTAATTATTGCTATTTACTTATAGTTAGATTTAAAAATCTAGTTATCTTGGCCTTTGCCTTGTTTTTAGATGTTTTATCTAAAACTTTAAGGCTTTTAATGATCTTGGCCTTTGTAATATTCTTTATAGCTTCTTTTGGAATAATGTTATTTCCCCATCTGGCTTGAGTATACCATAACCATATTTCATATATTATCATAATATGAAGCCAAAGTGCAGACTTTCTTTTC